GAAAATCATCTATGGGCTTAAGCGAAGATCCTACTATTATTTTGAAACTAAAAATATCTGATTCCTTGAGAATGTAGAGTTTGCGAAGGGAGGGGGAGATAAGGTTATAAATACACACACACACACATTAACATTAATAGACTTTCTTTCCGATTTTTATAAAAGACCCTTTTAGGACTATTATAACATTTGTGAAACAACTTGATCTTAAGCTACTTCAGATGGTTTACAAATTAAAGAAAATCATCTATGGGCTTAAGCTTGTTTTCCTAAAAGACTTTAGCCCTTGTTTGAGCCACATTATTAGAATGAAAATGTATTTTTGAATAGTGTATTGATGAGAAATGTGTGGTTAAGAAATAAGGTGAAACTTTGGATTTGCGTATAATATTATTTTATTGAAAAATATGTGGTTGAGATGATGATAAATCACTTGTGAAAAATGTATTTTTTGGAAAAAAATGTGGCTCAAACAAACCTTTAATCTATAAATACACACACACACACACACATTAACATTAATAGACTTTCTTTTCGATTTTTACGAAAGACTCTTTTAAGACTATTATAACATTTGTGACACAGCTTGATCTTAAGCTACTTCAGATCGTTTACAAATCAAAGGTCTTACAAATTTCATCAAATAATTATCTCATTTGGTTTTGAGATGAATTCAGTTGATGATTGTGTATTGGTGAAAATGTATTTTTTGGAAAAAAATGTGGCTCAAACAAACCTTTAATCTATAAATACACACACACACACACACATTAACATTAATAGACTTTCTTTTCGATTTTTACGAAAGACTCTTTTAAGACTATTATAACATTTGTAACACAGCTTGATCTTAAGCTACTTCAGATTGTTTACAAATCAAAGGTCTTACAAATTTCATCAAATAATTATCTCATTTGGTTTTGAGATGAATTCAGTTGATGATTGTGTATTTCACAAGTTCAATGGAAGTAAGTATATATTCTAGTATTCCATGTCGACGACATACTGCTTGCCTGAAAAAATATAGGCTTGTTGTACGAAAACTAAGAGATTTCTATCATGAAATTTCGAAATGAAATATTTTGGTAACGCCTTTTTGTATTAAGGATACAAATACACTGTGATCATTCTCGGGGTATTTTGAATTATCACAAAATGCTATATCGATAAAGTTCTTAAAGTATTTAGGATGCAAGTATGTAAACCAGGTGATATCTCTATTATTAAGATAGACAAGTTTAGTCTCAATCCATGTCCTAGGGATAAATTTAAAGAAAATGAAATACAAAAAATTACATATGCTTCAGCAGTTGGGAGTTTAATGTTTGCCTAGGTTTGCACACTTCGGATATAGCATTCACCATTGGAATGTTGGACATATATTTAACTAACTCTAGCATGGATATTTGGAAAGTAGCTAATTAGTTTATTTGGTATATATAGAAAACTGAGGATTTCTTGATCATATATAGAAAATCAGATGAGTTGGAAATTACTGGATATTCTTAGTCTAATAATGGAATATGACTGCAGAATTTTGTCAATGGACTGCAAATTTTGGATAGAATTGAAAGTTCACTTAAGTTATTCTGTGACAAAAGCAATCTTGTATTCCAATAGAAGCTTGACGATGTCAAAATTTATAGACGTTAAGTTCTCAGTTGTTAAGGAAAGAATTCAGAGTGGTCGGGTTCTATAAAGCAGATTAAGAGAAACTCTACAATTATGTATCCATTTACTAAATTGTTGTCACCCAATATCTTTCATGAGCATAAAACTCACATAGGTGTTGCATCTGTTGTTGATATGCCAATTTAGTTGGAGTTTGTGTTCAAAAGTTGTCTGTTTTAGACACATATTTTTATCCATGAATATTCAGTTTAATTCAGAAATAAAGTATTCAGTTCAATTTCACTCTGATTAAAGTTTTGATTTTATCTCATTAAAGAATAAGATAGGATTAGTTGAAAATAGGCATGTATAGGTCATATTGCATGTAATTTTCACGCTACACATCTACACTTGATCTATATCATTTGAATGTATTGATATGCGTGATCATTGATGAGTTTAGTTATGATACTCGTAACGAAAAACTTTTTGGTTCTATATTGACATAATTGATGAACAAAATTGTTCGGGATGCCTTTTAATTATAATAATAAAAATTTTAAGCTCATAAGGTTATACACATTTATAAGGTAACATATGTTGCTCAAATGGGAGATTGTTGGGAAAATTTATTAATTTGTCACATGGGCCAACATATGTAATTAATTATGTATAAATATTATCTTATCGTTAAGCACATAATTAAAGTGATCTAACAAAGAATTAAGTAATTGGGTTTAGGGTGTCTAAATAAAGTGTGGGCCGAATTACATGTGTAGAGCCAAGATTCATTTAGAATTGTATTTCATGATGTGCAAAATACATATGAAAACTATATATAGGATTATGATTCTCAACTAATATGTAATTTCTCATTTTTTTGTCATCTCATTAACAGAAGAATACTAAAGAAAGCATATTAAAGATAAATATCCAAAATCCACAATCAAGAACATGCAATCTACAATCAAGAATGAAGATGAAGAAGTTAAGAATCATAACTATGGAGCAAGAAGCCAAAATCAAGATCAATAACTCAAGAATAAAAAAGAGTCAATATTCAAGATCAAGATCTGGAATCAAGATCCAGCATTAAAGAATCATTCCCAATGAATTAAGGTATATTTGCATATAATAATTCTCTTAATGATTTGACATAGAGGATATTAGTAATAAAGTAATTAGATTTTTTGTTATCTCATTAACAGAAGAATACAAAAGAAAGCATATTAAAGATAAATATCCAAAATCCACAATCAAGAACATGCAATCTACAATCAAGAATGAAGATGAAGAAGTTAAGAATCATAACTATGGAGCAAGAAGCCAAAATCAAGATCAATAACTGAAGAATAAAAAAGAGTCAATATTCAAGATCAAGATCTGGAATCAAGATCCAGCATTAAAGAATCATTCTCAATGAATTAAGGTATATTTGCATATAATAATTCTCTTAATGATTTGACATAGAGGATATTAGTAATAAAGTAATTAGATTTTCATGTTATTAAAATTTAAAATTTCATAAAATTCCAATTGTGTGATCTTGACCTGAGATATTGTTTGTAGTAATGACGAGTAGAATTCGATTTCAATGGCTTATAAAACAATTAAAAGGATTTTAGGGCAATAGCTATTCATTGCTCATTGGAATACTCACTTAATAAGATTGACTTTTTAAGATTAAAGCGGAATCAATCCTCATTAAGCTCAAACGACCATTTAGATTTCAAGATTGGTGTGCTCGAATAAGTCATGATCTTATAATAAGTAGAGATAACAACTTTAGAATTAAATTCAATAAGTTTAAAAGAAATAAGTCTTTATAACTGAAAAACTAATTCTTTGAAAAATAGAAAATTGTATTAGAATTTAGAAAAGGAAATGGCGGAGCTCAATAACATTTTTAATTTTCTTTAACTTTGATTTTATTATAATCAGGCCAATTTGATTTTTCGTCATGGCTTGCCAAAATAATCAAGCTCCGCACAACGTGTTCATTATGGTGAGGCAAATCGCGCGTGAACCAACTTGAGCTTGTTTAACTCAGTTTTAAATTGGGTGGATCATCTTGAACTTGGATGATTCGACTCATTTTGACTTTATTAGCAAAGTCTTAAATTTGGATTTTTGAATATTATAACAGACATTTCTTTCAAATCTATTATAAAATAGAGCTTGGACCTTGGTTTTACATATTTATAGTGACCTTTGTAGCTCAAATTTCTCATTCTCCTTCTTACTAATAAATTTTTATTGTGAAAATTATTTGATTTTCTTATCATAAATGCAAATAACATTAAAGATTTGGAGTTAAATATTGCATTTTATAGATTTTAGAACATTACTTATACAATTATGGATTACATAAAAATTTGTCACATAAGTCAAAAAAAAATAAAAAAATTCAATGCAAGTTGTCGAGCTGACGCGACGTAAAAAAAAATGTTGATTGAGGTTAGATAGAAATGACAACGAGGCGGGTATGGGATGGGTCGGCAATTCTCACCCCGTCCCGTCGGGTACTTTTGTTATCTTACCCCATACTTATATCCGGTTAAAGTGGGTTCAGGGCGGGACAAGTCTCTTGCCTCATTTATTTTTTTATTTTTTGCTTTTATTCTTTTATGTTCTTAGTTAGTTAATAGTATTACTTTGTTACTAATTTGTTAAAAACAACTTATGTTCTCTTTACAAAGAATGATAAATTTATTATTTTTGTTTGATAAAAACTTAAATTTGAAATTAATATTAGACAGGATGGGTAATGGGACGGGGACTATGTTTCTCGTACCCGTCCCATACCCGTTTTCTGGGCAATGACCCTTATCCTATACCCATCCCATGTACCTGATTAGGCCATTCGAAGCAGGGCTCCATGGGTATTGGGTTGAATGGGTTTTTTGACCATTCCTAAGTTTAGATGTAAAAACTCTCTTAGATATGTGAACTTTTTATAATATTAGATTTGCTTCTCCTTGATGCTGTTTTCATTGCCGCTATGGTTAATGCTAGTAAAATAATACATAGACGAAGAATTAAGAACATAAACAGAATCCATTGAAAGTCAATTTTAGATTTGGTTTACTCATTACATAAATTCCACGTCGACTGAAAATTCGTCTATCTAATTAAATGTCACATAAAATACAATCCACCCTTTGGAACGGAGATGTTCTTAAAAGGGAAAAAACATTTTACCCTAGTTGCAGGCTCATCACATGCTAAAAGTTTGATTGAAAACAACTCCCAAATCTCGACTGGACTGCAATTTAATAAGATTGATATCATGAGATCGTGCATTGTTTCCACTCTACAGACCGAAAACTACTTGTCATTTTTATGGTCCTAAGCAACAAATGAAAGTCGTCAGATGTCAGCTTTCATTGTTTGGCCTACATATTAAAGTCCCCAAGAAACTTTAAGCCTCTATTTATTCTCATCAAACATTTCTTTCATTTCTTCACAACTCCTCGGTTGAAGATCACAATTTTCTCGTAAATTTCTTCTTTCTTATTTTAGTTTCTTGATTTTGTTACTATTAGTTATCAGATTTCGACTTTTTTAACAATCACTGAACTTATGGCAGGAAAAAATGGCTAATCTTGGAGTTTTCTTAGTGGGGTTTTTCTCAATGGTGTCATGTGCATATGGCTACTATGGTGGTTGGATTAATGCTCATGCCACCTTCTACGGAGGCGGTGATGCTTCTGGAACAATGGGTATGTACATACACATAAACATTTCCCATTTTTGCCTAATCATATTGAATAAAGCTGTTTGTACAGATGAACTGTACAAGGTAGGTAACCGGTGTTGAGATGTCAACACGATATTGAATATTTTAACTTTATTCTTTGTCCAAACTTCAATGAAATGTTGTCATCTGACATTCTGTAAATTCATCCGGCAAATATGTCCATACATTTAGCATCGTTGAATCATATTTTAAAATTATTTCCTCGACCACAGAACTACCGAATATTTTATTAGAGATGACCGTTGCTCTCGTTAGTAAGGATTAGGGTATAATCAATGACATTGTCTTACTTCTTTCTTAATTCTTATAGGTGGCGCATGTGGGTATGGAAACCTGTACAGTCAGGGTTATGGAACTAATACAGCAGCATTGAGTACAGCCCTTTTCAACAATGGATTGAGTTGTGGTGCATGTTTTCAATTAGTGTGTGTGAATGATCCACAATGGTGTCTTCGTGGCAGCATTATTGTTACAGCCACAAACTTCTGCCCTCCAGGGGGTTGGTGCGATCCCCCGAACCACCACTTTGATCTCTCTCAGCCCGTTTTCTTGCGTATTGCGCAATACAGAGCCGGGATTGTTCCCGTGGCTTACAGAAGGTGATCGTCGTGTAGAGTTTGCATTTTCCAATTTTTACTCGAGTCAATCCTAATGAAGGTCATTTTGTTTTCTTTTAACTGTTTTGTGTAGGGTACCCTGCAGGAGAAGGGGTGGCATTAGGTTCACCATCAATGGTCATTCATATTTCAATCTTGTTCTAATTACCAATGTTGGGGGTGCAGGTGATGTGCATGCAGTGTTCATCAAGGGCTCAAGAACTGCCTGGCAACCAATGTCAAGAAACTGGGGCCAAAATTGGCAGAGTAATTCTTACCTCAATGGACAAAGTTTATCATTTAAGGTTACCACTAGCAATGGTCGAGCCGTCGTCTCTTACAACGTTGCCCCTCCAAACTGGTCTTTCGGCCAAACTTTTTCAGGTCGTCAGTTCCGCTAATTTTTCGTCGGCTAAACAATTATAGCTTATAAATTCAAGTCGTTGAAAAGAGAGTGTACGTCATTATTTTAATAGACCTTCTCTACTAATTTAATAGTTTGGTTCAACTTTCCATGTGAGGCATTTATGTCTAAAGAGAGTCACACTCATGAGCTATTACAACCTTGTAAGGCTCTAATTAGTAATTACTACACTACAATAAAATATGGAAAATTTACATATTGTACTAGGAGATGATACTATTGTTTGTACAAGGTCAATTGAAATTTGGTTTGAGCGCATTTTGAATAAGGTAAAGAAAATCACTGTATGAGATAATGTAATGTATAATATAGAAATTATCTTTTAATTCTTGTTTCTTGTGTACTCAAGATGTACTATACCCTTCGTATTGCAATAAGGATTTTGAGAAGAAATTATTATAATGTTGTTGATATTCATAACATATTTACTAATGTTCTTTTATTTATTTTTTAATAAGCTCCTATTTCATTTTGTTAAAAATTTGATTTTTAGTAGATTTTAATAAAAAATAAATAAAATATATAATTAAAATTAAGAATAACGTTATCTAACACCATTACTGCTAGAAGCCTAGAAAACCATTTATGTGGAGTTAAGTGTTAGGTTCAACTAAAAATAAAATTAAGTGATTCATTTAATTATACTTCTCATTTAATGCCACATTAATGGCGTCTTTCTAGTGTTTTTACTCCAATGATGCTAAATAACATTACTCTAAAAATAATTTTGAATTTTGACTTAAATTTTCATCAAATTTTTTTTAGCTAAACCAAACATGCACTAAAAGAGAAGTGCAAATTTGTATTGTTTCGATCCTATATTTGTATGCATTGGTAAATAGTGACTATTGATCGAGTTGCACGGAAAAAGAGAGAACATAACATGTTAAGCCCCTATTTGAGCACATCATTCAATAACTCATTTTTTTCAATACTCATTTATATCCATACGATCAACCAATAAAATAAATTGTACGCAAACCTAAATTTTTTTCTTATTTTTTAACTACATATTCTCTAGAAATTCACTATCACAAACTTCATTTTAACATAAAAATGAGACTCAAACACGAGCTAAATGTTGGAGAAATTAAGAAAATCGGGCCTCATATACACCGTAACTCTTCCAAATTCAAATGATAACAGAAAATAATAAATTTCAAGTCTCATTCTCAATATATTTAAGTCTGATATCTAGAACAATTGGGTGCTTAATATAGACAGAATCAGACGAAAATCACTGAAGTTTAAGCCTTAACTAGAATTAAAAAAAAAATTAATACGAAGCCTTACCTGACAATCATTATTTGAAAACTCTTTTCTTCTACAAGCTCATTTTCAATTTTACATTCGCATAATAAAATATTTTGTACGTAAATTCAAAATTTTCCATGCTTTTTAATAACGCATTTTCTAAAAAATTACTAGTTTCAAAACATTGTTTTTCTTAAATAATGAGAGTCAAATAGGGGCTAAAAAATTTATGATTAAACTAAAGATTCACATGTTGATAAAATATTAGAAAAATTTTACCCTTATTTGATTCCCATTAATTGGGAAAAAAAATGGTTTTGAATAGTATTTTTAGAAAAATGTGTGGTTAAAAATAAAAAAACATTTGAAATTACTTATAAAATATTTTATTATTTAAATGTGTGGATAAAAATGAATGAACAGTAAATAGTAAATAAACTTATCAAACGGGGTGCGGAAGTCTCGGCAAGAGCTCCTTTTCCCTTTCAATGTTACTTGCAAGGACCATTACATTGACCACACAACAGTCACGGCAGCACCCGTGGCCAGTAGGTCCTCAATTTCCGTGAACTTGTGTGATTGAATTTTGTCGGTGGCTTCATTTTTTCTTTTTCCTTTTTTGCTTGTTTCTTGTTTAAGTTAAAAACTTTTAATGACAAGATTAGAAATTAGATATTCAGTTTTATCAATCAAGACCAATCTCCTCTTCATAGTACGCAGAAGATATCTTGTCCATTGATAGAATGGCAATACACTCATCGATGTACTCACTATGGGTAGGAGATCAGTCATGAAGATTCAACATGAGTGAATTGGTTCGAACGATCAACTATTATTCAATCCTTATTTAAATTAAGAAATTTAATGACCAGTTGAATGGATCGTTCTTTATAAATAGTCGAATTATTAGGTTATCTAGCCTAGCATGGTCCCTCATTATGATCTTATGGGGGCAAAATATTCTGGGTCGGCCAGTCCGACCCATCATTTTTAATATATATTTTTTCATTTTTTTTAAGGAATTTAATATAATTTTAAACTAAGCATGATTGACAGGAGGTAGATTGGGATGGTCAGCTCAACAAGTTGGACAATTAAATTTGACATGGCCTGTTCACTAAGGTGAACTAACCCATGAACAGACGACCGAGCCAAGCTTAGCTCAATCTGGTTTTCTAATGGTTGTGTCATACCGGGCCTACACAGTCCAATCCATTATGACACCACTAGTCGGCATGATGGTGGGGGTTGCTATACGTTAGTTGGTGGATTTGGGGGAGCTGTAGATGGGCCAATAAAGCCCAGCCAAATGGACTTGGGGGTGGACTAGCCTGTAATATATGATAGCCCAATCATGTTTTTAAGTACCAATTTCAAAAATCAAGTTTAAAGTAATTTTATTCAAAAATCATATGATAATATATTTTTTATATGTTAATAATAATATTATAAAATTAAATAAATCAACAGATTCACTACCCACAAAAAACCTCACCCCCACCCAATTTCAAACCCTAAAATTTTCTTTTCTCCTCTCCCTCTTTCTCTTTCTCTTCCTCTTTTCCATTTTCTCTCTCAACAACGTAACCGTGTACCACCGTCGCGAGAAGCGGCCAGTACCCATTGCTCTCTTCTCTCCTCCTTTTTCTCTCCATTCTCTCTCTATAACAACTGTGCACAACCTGTGACAATCGATGCACATGCTCAAAGCGACTCCCCGCTAAAGGGTGGTGGGAGGTTGGAGCAAGCATATGTGTTGACCTATGGTTGATTTCATCCTCAATGTTTTGATTATAACATACAATTTTAATATTGTTTCTAACAATTTATTTTGAGTGATATTAGTTCAATGTTAAAATCAATAAAACATTATATATCGGACATGAAATGAAGATTAAAGTGGAAGTTAAACATTCAAGTCAAATTATTTGAGATGAGAGCGTAAAAGATAAATGCCAAGAAAAAAAAAATTAAGAACATGAGAGACGACATCAAAGAAAAATCAAGACGAGAAGTTTAAGAGCCAAGGGCTAAACATGAAAGAAACTTCAAAGCAAGATCAAAGCCCTTGACTTCTAGATCATATGTAAAGGTATAATACTTTGATCTTTGGTAATAAATGACAATAGCTTAAAAAGCATTTTGTGCACGA